GGTCAGTAATTTCCCGCTCTAACAACTTGAGCCATCTAGCCCCCCAAAGAGAGTGAACGAAAGGCTATTTTTTATAACTGTCAGGTTCGCTTCACTTTCTTTACTCAAGTGCACTAAATCGTTTAGATGGAGAACACTACTCATATCGTTGCTGAAAACTCTCCAGCACTACACTACCTGTTTCGTCCTTCTTGGCGCTCAAAAGCGCACTGTGCTATCTCCAATACCATGTCAAGTGAAATACGGAACAGTCTCTGTGTGTGCAGCAATTTGAACAGCATCATAAACGTGAGATCGGGGGAGTTCATTCGGGTCTTCTGTTAAAACAATTTGGTTTGCAAACGAGTACATTACTCCGAACACCCCACTGAAATTTCAGTGTCATGTCCGTCCATATTTTGGTATTTGCTTCACCGGGTAAAACTTTCAGCTGAATTTTCCCCATATATAGTCACCGTTTTGGGAAAATTCTTCTTCTCAAGTGTGGTCACACGTGTGCTGGATGAACTATACGAGATTTCCAAATTCTCACGTAAAGGACATATTTTCCGCTGCCCAGAGTATTATTGTTCTCAAATGGAAATTTAATGGCATCCCTCTGCTCTGATTGCAAAAAGTACACAGTCCGCATGCAATCAACTCCGTTTACGACACACGGATCTCCCGAATAGCTGGAAACCAGCTAGCACCGTCTGAGAAAAACACAAGACTGTTTATATCTTTTTGATTACATTTCAAAGGACAACATTCCGATTGGGTTGTGTTCGACGATGCTTCATCGCCTAAGGTTAACCTCTCCCCCTTTTTCTGTCAAATTTGAAATTAATTCTTCCGTTTGAAAGCGAAGTGGAGACGGTGGGAAGACAAACTGGTCTCTGTCGGATAGTGAACGGCAGTCAGTCAGTGAGGGTGGGGAAACTTCAATCACATTTATCCGTGTAGGTGTTGTTTTTTTTGCTCGACACTTTTCTTTGTGCAATAAAAAGTTATTAGTTGTGTTCATAATTGTACCCAAAATACTGGTACTATTGAAAGGTGAAAACTTTCATGCAGTCTGTACACAGTTGTTACTGTTGTTTATAGTAACCAACAGTCCAAACCAGTCACAGTTTGATGGTGCAAAGGCCGAGCTCCCCAAAATTCGAACCGTCCAATATTGGAATATCTTTTCTTGAGACGGGTCGCTTCGTATACTTGAACCCCGTCACCGTAATCAGAAACAGCGGGGGACTTCAAGAGAGAACACTAAGTTCTTGTGTGAGATACCGACATGGGTCCACAAGCTAAAGGTGCGATGAGTCCCTATGAATGTCACATGTACCTGTGTAGTGTGAGGCAGCGTCCGAGGAGATACCGTTTTCAAATCAATTGTCTGGTAAACTGCAGTTCATTGATTAGAACACTGCTTAGGAGTGGTGTATTTTCGCGAAATACACTTAACTGCAAACAAATTGGGCTTTGCGAGAGAATCACCTGGAAACCAATTTCTTTTGCAAATGAGTGTATTTAGCCAATTTTATGCAATTTGCCTTCAAATAGAGCGTAAAGTTGATGCAAACTCGAGGACTGTGCCCACCTAATGAGCCCCAAAAAGAGCGAAACCGGTGGTGGGCTGTCGAAGTATTTCCAGCGACCTTATGAGTAGCACATTACGTCTATGACGCATTTTCCTTACTTTTAAGTTAATCTGGCCTTCCAAATAAGGATATCCAGTTACACCTCTATTCTATGTCGTGTCACGTAAAAGAGATTCTGATATTGTTGTGTCTTCTAAATTAATTCAACTAGGGGGAATATCACATATTTTTCCCATTGAACATACTCACCAAATCGCTCCCACCAACATGCTTTATTTTGACAGCTTTACTTCTAATCGGACTGCTCATAGTATGTCATGCCTCCTCCAGTCGTGGATAAAATCCGGCACTTAACTAGGCGCACATTCCATGGAAGGTTCTTGAATCGGTACACGGAAAGTTTGACGTTATTCAGTTTTGTTAACTGATCGAAAAGACATCTGGGACAGTTACTATTGGTACAGGAAACACAAAACTTGAGCGCAGCCTTATTAATAGTGGTTTGGAAATTATTCCCCAGCTTGCCGCTGTTTACTGCTCCTGAGAATCGACTGCTGCCCATCGCAGTGGAAGTTCAAGTAAAAGTTACTTCCACATGGTACAGACTTAACTTAATACTCATAAGGTTGCTGAAAACTCTTCGGCTGACTAGTATCGCTCTTCTTGGGTTAATCATGAACGAAAGATTCAGCTGCGTGGAAACCAGATTGATATGCAAATGAGTGTATTTCGGTTACTTCAACTGCTGTGGGCGGTTGCGTGGCGTTCGCTGAGATCACCTGTTGATACAAAATGTGCCCCTGATTTGAACCGGTGCTTCTGGTAATATGTTCTGTTTGGTCTAAACTGCTGGAATTAGAACTAAGAATGGTCTTGTAAGATGCGTTTCAGCGTGCCCACGGATTCTGGCTTGGAATATTTTTGAACAACCCACACAGTCGATAGTTATCCAATTCTACTCTACACTAACTAATGTACTCACAATCTCTGGCTGTTCCATCCACAAAACCCAAATGCTCGAAACCGCCATCACGATTCTTCAGTATCTTCGAATCGCTGCTAGTTATGCTGCTTCTCAGTTCGATGTTTCTTTCTCCTTTTTGTTAGTCTACCCCATAAAAAAGCCAAGCCACACGAAGGAGGCATGATGGTTGGGATACTGCCAGGTCGCCCAAGCCTTTACAGGGGAATTCGAGTGGGGTCGGTCGGGTTCGAACCACGGACCTTCCGGTCGGTAAATTTGCGCCCCAACCACTAGGTCCATCTCGCCCCCTTGTTTGCCCCTTCCCATCCATGGAACATCTTGTAGCATTGGGATTATGAAACTTTGAGTGTCTCTATATAATAGGCTAAATGATGGAAAATCAAGCAGTTGTGGGCGCCACTGGACGATCGCAATCCGATATCACCTGCTAATTTCCGGACACTTCACCGCATTATCCGGTCCCTCTGTACTTCCTTTAAGAAGACGTCGTGTTGATATTCCGCTGGGATTACTAACTAACAAGGTGCAGAAGGAACTCCAGAAAAAACTGCTTATTTTGGAATTCTCTAATGCTAAAGATGCTCCGCGGTATTATCTCTAAAAGCGTCATATTAAAGTCGACTAAACACCAAGATCTAATACCCTCTGTCAAGGAAACTTTGTAAAGTTGCTGACAAAGAGGAGGTAAGAAAAGCCTAAAATTCACATTCGCGTCCAGGTGCTGGAAAGTCAAATATTTCGAAAGCATTTATAAAGTGGTATGAATAAAGCCCCAATTCAGTGTGGCGTTTTTTCTTTACTTTGTTCTGCATTCGCTTCTTTCTCTTTATTCTATGTAACGTTTTTGGGTGTTCACATGCACGCATGCATTCTGGCACCTCGCTCAGTCTGATTATCGTTCACTTTTGAACTCCGTAGCTAATCGATCGCAGTTTGATTGCTTGACCTATTGTCCCCTGCTCTACGGATATGTGAGTTTGGGCTGCGTGGATTAAACTGTCATGAATCGGGAGTGTTACTTTCAGCATAGATCGATTGCACCATAAAATACTTTGTGAGCACTCATTAACTTATTTATATTTTTGTGAATTCTGTGTGTTCCCAGCACCGAGCTACAAGTGATCCACAACTTAAAGACTATTTTATTAGCTCTCATTACTGGCCACTTGTCGTGCAATTCGCTGTCCCTTTAAACACTTGTACTGAATGTGTGTATTTACCGGACGAGATCATAGCAAGGCCACATGATTGCAAAGTATGTGTTCTAAATTATATGGACACCGCCTATCCCTCAGATTTCCCCTTGTCAACTGATCCCAGGACTGACTAGGAACACCAGAAATCTATGAAAAAGGCAGCAAAAGACTGTCTATGTCAGTCCAGAATTCCTTTACAAAGTAGTATGAAATATTAAATCTAAAAAAATTTGTGCGAATGCACATAAGCCCTTCACAGTCTTCTGTTAAATATGTTTTATGCTGATTATCTATACTTAAAGACTATACAGATTGAGTATGGTTCGAGATACATGGTTGATTCGATGTGCCGCTCACATTCGGTTGAATATACCGCTTCGTTCACCCTCAAAACGAGTCTATCGTGGGATATGAGACTACTTGGGAGTAGCCAACTGGATACTCGTAAATTTCTGCAATAATCAGGGAGGGCTAGATTAGCAACAAGACAGTCAGACGTGGAAATTAAGCAAATTATTACAAAAAACGAAAGAAGGAAGTCTGAAAATTTGATCCAATGTTGGTTTAATCCTGGTTTGAAATGAATAAATATATCCCCTAAAATCGATAGAAAACCGCTTTTATCAAAGCCGGCCACACCAAAACTCAACCACTAAGCTCACTTGCGAACAAAGCAAATATGAGTACTGGCAACACTCAGTATTTGGACTGTACTCAGGCGATTTGGGTACTTCTTTTAACAGCCGCCATGAGCCAGTTTCATTTTCCTCAAGTACTTTCTCCCAGTCTGTTTGAATTAAAGGACCATTCCATGAAACAAGCCAAATCTACCTGACAACTACTCTCCTCATTACAAAGTTACAAGACCCACCTCCGACAGGTTTTAATCAATCCGAGTGTTTTTAAATTGAGCTCGCTCATACGACAGCAGACGAGGACATTGTAGTGATTCTAGAAAGGTTGGCCGTGGTATAGCCCCAGCTTGTTTGGATACTGTTTCGCTTCCAATCGAATACACTTATTCCGTTGGAGCAAAAACACAGAAAGTCGCCAAAAGACCCCATAATGAAGTAGCGTCCGAATGATTTACACATGCAGGCTGTCAGTAACCGTACATAGATTAATTCAACTGCCATGAAGCCGATAGTTTTATCGATCTCTATCCAAGCAGTGCAACAGGTCCCGTCATTTCAAACTGCTGAGGTATTTTAATTCAGTGCCTCAGTCTACAAAGTAAACAGCTTACTCTGAGACGGCAAGAAGATTAGATATCTGGAGTTCAACGGTCAATACGGGCACGTGTTCCATTTTCTGACCTGCATTCGGACCAACGATTGGATAACGTTGGTTCACCTGTCTCGTATCCGAAGTTTCTGTCGTCAGGGCCACAATTTTTGACGTCAAAAGCGAGTAAAGACGAGGCAGACGATGAGGTGCAATGTTCAATTTCGACATCCTGTGCACGACTATGGTCATATTCGCTAACGGGGCAATGCACAAAGTGTGACGTCAACCTCATGATTAAATGCAAATTGGTTTACGGTGGCCGTTTTGAAGAAACAATCTGTCGGCAAGTACACTGTGTAATGAAACGAAAAATAGCCAAAGTCACTTGACACACCGCCAGGTACGATGTCAGTACTAACTGTTCATAGACTTTTACCGACCTCCTCCAAGAACGCGACTTGCAAGTGAACGATCCAGTTGATTTGATGTTTTTTTCTAAAAGAATAACTTTATCAGATGCCGTGGATCCCAAGTCGTCGGAAGGCCTTACAGACCACCTAAAGCACGTAAGACACTACATAGATCTTATAAACCGATTAACTGACCGAGTCGGTCGATCGTCCAAAGTGCTGAAGTTATTCACACCGGTCGAAATTCTTTGTGCGATTATATAATCCCTTGGGGCTGCAAAGTACGCTAACGGTTTGGTGAAAGGAGTTAATCCGGTCGTAATTCTTTGTGCGATTATATAATCCCTTGGGGCTGCAAAGTACGCTAACGGTTTGGTGAAGAGGAGTTAATTCCCTCCCCCCCCCCCTCCCCGTGCGCTCGATTTTGCCAGCGTTTTTACGAAAAACACAATGATGACATGCGTTACGGTGAACCGATTCTGATTTAGGTCATATCTTCCTAAACTACACCCGTCAGGAAATACAAACAAGAGCATTTAGGAATACCAGTGGCTTCTTTCATAAATTTCCGCAGCAGACTCTATGAAACATCTCTTTTGATGAGATATTATAATACTAAAGTTCATATTTAAAAAGATATTTTTGGGACAGGCGAAGTTGTGTCACTTGTCTCATTGTCCAGAAAACGCGCGTTTCACTGAACGAATAATTTAACTGGATGCGGTCGTTTGAAAAGCGTTTGAATTCAGTCTGCCATTTTGTCCATCAGGCAACTGCACTGGTGTACCAGGAGACAGTTCGGCTAATTCAACTCTCTACCCTAGCCTCACGAGACGCCAGCACGTAACGCACATGCGTGTCAGGCCAAACGAACACATGACCATTCTGTTTTTACCTACCAATACGAAAGTGATGAATATTTAATCAGAAACAAATGTCCAATAAACTGTTTATCCTCTCACCCAATAACGTGTGAGACAGTCCGGCTTGTGTGTTGCGTTAGTCTTGGTTCTAAATGATGGCAGGTGAACGTCTGTAGGTAGCCAAGGAACTCTTTGATGGTTAGAAGGGTCGCAGTTCTTGCACCAAACTGGTTGAAAGTCAGTCAGTTCAAGGCTTGAAGTCATCTTGACCAGATGCAAGGTGTGAGGTGAAACAAACCCAGCTCCCGGTTTTGAAGTTTCCAGGTAACTGAATGTGCTGCACCAGGCCGCCTCATATTTCACTCGCTACGATATTCGAGATATCGCGATACATATATATCTTTGTAATACACTACTCATAAGGGGGCTGCGCCTACCTGATGAGCCCCAAGAAGGGAGAAACCGGTCGTGGGCTGTCGAGGAGTTTTCAGCAACCTTATGAGTAGTGTATTACAAACCCAGCTCCATGTATACAGAACGTATACGGTGACTGTGAAAAAATTGCGACTTTCTTGGCGATCCTTTGAGTAATGGACATTTAGCACCCCTTCTGTGAAAACTAAACGGCTTATCAGGCTGGCAACAATAGCTGTATTGGAAGCACACGTAACTGTCATTGATGCCTACTAGATGTGCTAAAACGCCATCGGAGCAAAAGCACTGTCACAAGTGGCGTTTTCTTACTCGGCTGTTCTTCTTCCAGTGTGAAAAAAGATAAGAAAAGTTCGCCTGCTTTTCGACTAGCTTGCAGTACATGCGGGTTCCAAAAGCCCCTGCAGAAAAATATACCTCAGGGGTAGTATAGGCTGTACAATATACGGATCTCCAGGGTGAAGAGTTAAGCGGTAGTAGCTATGGCCGATTTGGCAGAACGATGTCAGTGCTTTCGAGAAAATAAAATATTTGGCCGAGTAGATGTATCTATCACAAAATCACTACCACGACCTCTCGTTTGTCAATAGTTTGATCAGCTCTTCAAGAAGGAAGACCAAATGTCAACGCGTGGACAAAGTTCACAGTGTCTCGAATGACCACGCATTGCAACTTAATCGTCTTTACTTGTGCACTCTGGAAATAGAATTGCAAGATAACGCAGACGAGGATCTAGATGATTCGTGCGTTACTCCTTAAATTCCATTCTCGGTCGATGGCTTGGGAAATCCCTACCTGAGGAATTCTCTGTGAAATCCCTGTGATATTCAGCCGTATGAGTTCGTTTAATGGAGACAGCCACTACTGAATACTACTGAATTATTCACTCACTTCCGTGTAGCAACCACCACCACCCATTACCGAAATAGGCAGTCTTTGGGCATAGGTTGCTTCGCTATAAAGACTGGCTTTCCTCAAGAGGTCAAGTAAGTCATCGACGACTCTGCTCACCACAGAAATTCGAACGGTAGTTTAGGAGTGAAATTAAATCAGAGGCTGGGTGATCTGAGCTTACGCTCACGAAGGCAAGAATGCTGATGGTAATTCTTGTGTTGTTGCAAACAATAAAACTAGGACAACCTCGCTGTGCACAACAACAATTTGAGTTGATCGATCAAGAAACTAGAGCCGCCTGGCTCAATCGGGTGAACCAGTGTGAGGGGGAAAGCGATTCGCCGCGAATTCGTTTATTAGAGAACACCAACTACAGAAAAGTAAACCTCTCATATGCATCTAATGCTAGAAAGCTGTAAACGAACGCTGCAAAGCAGTTCCGCAGGTTCCGGTATAAACTCCACCTTCCAGCGGAGTAAGAGAAAACAACATACTACTTGCGTTTCTCATCAGCAGTATCCAGCGTTACACTAGTATGGCAGCTCAACCTCTTTCCTCGTGTCGTGATCGAAGATCTGATCTTGGAATCCATGCCCCTGATGATACATTCCAAACCATCTTACGGCCCCAGGATTCGGTGCCTTGCTGCTCGCGTTTCAATGCGACCACTGTAGGTTCCGCCCTATCCCCATACGCACTTATATATGTGCAAAAGCCTGGTGATGAAAGTGATGATGGTGTTTTAAGGGCCTATAGCCATCATGCCACGGCAACTGTGTGGAAGTATTTTGTACACCCACAAAAATATACATCAAACTATCAAACTGCGTACATTCACATGATTTTTAAAAGGACAACATCTCTTGATGTGATTGGCTGGCCAAGGGACAGCCTTGTCGTGATTTTATTGGCCCCATTGGGATGTGTGCTGCGCTGTGATTTCACTCCTTGTGTTTGATTGGTTCGTTGAACAGAAAACGTCTAACAGAAATGGTCGGTGTTCTGATTATTCCTTTCACGGTAAGTTTTGCGCTGTTGTTTTGATCGTCCTGAGCTTTATTGGCTACTTTCAATTCCTGTCTTCATCTTTATGGTAGCTGATTTCAGCGTTTGATCGATTAATCAATTACCAATCTCTTCTCAGATTGAGCAACTTGATGCATTGGCTGGAGGTATGTTAGAATCAAAATAGTTTTTCTACCAGATTGAGGCTTTCTCTGCTTTCTCTGCGGGTTTCTTCTCCAGGCTCCTTGTGTAGTTTTAGGCTCTGTAGTTATGGGGTTCTAGTGTCCTCATTAGTTGGTAGATTGAGTCAATTTCAATCTGTTTGTTGACGGCGTACTTCGTGAAGATTCGTGCTTTCGTATCTTCACGTTGTTTTCACGTCCATCCTGGTCTAGTTGCAAGGAGAAAAGTGAAAAATGATTTGTCTTTTAACAGCAAGTTTATACTCATGAAAAATGGTTGAAAAGCTCCTCCTTTATTGTTGCGATCCCCGCATTGGATCTCGTAGGTGACACTTTTATTTTGGTCTTGACAATGGTTTACACAAGCTGTTTACTAGTTTGTAGGACATTTCTTTGTCATACTGTACTAAAATTGGTGCAGTCAATGCAGACACTTTATGAATATACTTGTGCTGAATTTTCCTCCTTAACACGGTACTGGATTGGCTGTATGGATTTCCTGCGTCGCATGTAAATGATTTTTCATTAGAAGGCATTTTATACGCGTTTTTCTTCCGAAATCTTGGACTCTACATATTTACAGTGTCTCCGGTTTGCTTAAAAAATATCCAAGCACAGACTTTTCTCTGACATTTTGGACGGAAAGTAAGCAGCTACTTGGAAGGAAATCGTTGACTCGTGCAACTTCGAAAATCCATGAAGGTGAGGGGAGTGACCGAGTTGTGATTATCTGGTGTCCCTCTTCCTGATCCTGTAGTGATTCAGGGGATTTTGTTTTATATCCTCTGCAAGTCCTTTACATATGCCACTCTCTTATCCGGCAATTAGAATTTGTATTGGTTGGTAGGGCATTTGCTTCAAAAATATATTCGGTTTCGTCGGGAATCACCGTTAGGCTCAATTTTTCAGCTGGTAGAATTATGATGTTTCTGGCTTTCTTCGACGTGTTAGTTGTTCCCCTTTTCTTGCCTGAGAGGATGTTGGCTGTTGTGTTCAACACCCAAATGACGGTTTGGAAAAATTGTTGTTCAAAGCTGACATTCAGTTCCATTTCAGTTCCACTGCTGTTTCTAGGCTGGTTAAGTACTCCTTGTTTATGGTGTAGATAAAATTTGACAAGGGCGCACCAAAATGCAAGCTAGGAAGGGATCAGTCAAAACACAGAAAACACTGCCGAAAAGCTGACGATGCTGGAATGGCCAATCAAATCGAAGGAATGCAAAGCAAAACTGAACACATATCGTGAGCGCAATAATCACTCCAATGGTCCAATCCTCTGTTCAACGAACCAACCGAGTCACAACAAAGCGTCAATCGTAAACGGCCCAATGAAATTACGATAACGCTGTCGCTTGATCAACCAGTAACATCATGAACTATCGACTACTCTTCTAAGAACCATGTAAATGCAATAGTCTGAATCGGAAGTGGCCACCATGTAC